TCCAGCCCCCTGAGCAGTGGGTACTGGACATGCACCCCGCCCCCTCCCCGGGCACAGGATCCCCCCTGCACCCAGCACAGGTCTCCTGCAGGGACCCCCATCGGACATCTCTCTTCACCAGGAACCGGGGCACCGAGCATCTCCCGCTGGGCATGCAGGGAGCCCTGGGATCTCCTCCTCGCTGCCCCGCTGCACAGCTTGGACCCGGGGCTTCTCCCGCCTGGCACTAGGCACTAACCCCGGGCACCAGGCTGTCCTGCCGGGCGTGCGGGTGCACCAGGACTCCCCTGCGCGGGGCACTGGGCACCTACATCCCCCCCCCCTCGCCCGCCAGCCGGCCATGTGGGAAGTACCGAGCCTTTTCCGCAATGTGTCGGGGGAGAGGGGGGAACATGTGAAGAAGGACGGACAGACGGATAACAGGGTGCAGCAGAGCTACGGGGCAGGGTGGGGGGGCACCTCTTGACATCCTCTCCACTGCCGGCCAGACTCCAGGATGGGTTTTGCCCTGTGCCTATCTGCAGAGATCCCAAAGCAGAGTCGCGCTGCCCCAGATACCTACTCTGCCCCTGTGTGGCGGGGGGGGAGGATAGCTATAGGGGGGAGCCCTATCACAGACCCCCCACCCCCGAAATGCAGGGCCAGCCCTGCCCGGAATGCCACAACCCACAGAGAATGGCACAGGGAGATGACAATTTGGGTGGGCCAAGAGGGCAGCCCCAGGCCCCACACCTCAGCCAGTCCAGCAGGCAGGAGAGAGAACCCAGGAGTCTGGCTGTCACTCAGTGCCCATCACAGAGGATCCTCATAGGGCATGTGGCTCTATGAGGGCCCTGGCCAGGCCATGGAGCTGCCCGTACTGGGCTGGGGAGCGAGTGTGAGGAGCTGCAGAGGGAAGTGGGGGATCAGATGGTGGGGACCCCTTGTGTGGACACTTCTGAGCCTGGGAGGGGGACACCAGGGGCCAGTGTCTGAGGCTAGGATGCCCCAGCTGGCTGCAGGGGGGCATGGAGCCAATGCTCCCACAGGCCGTGCCCAGCCATGGGTCTCTGGGAACTCATAGGTGGTTTGCTTTCAGAGTCCAGGGGCCTGGTACCTGCCTGGCAGCCCCAGCCCCTCCCTGCCAGGCAGGCTGGACCCCCTCCATCCAGCCTCACGAGCCAGTGGGGTGGGGGGGGCGGGCAATAGCTCCCAGCCCTGCTGCCCTGAGACATGACACGATGTAGCCTAGATGAGGTGGACATTTCCCAGCATTCTCTAGGGCAGCCTTTGCTCTGGGGCGCCCATGTGCCTGGGCCTTGGGACTCCTGGGTTCCACCCCCTCCCCTGCCCAACAGGTTGTCCCCCTGCGTGGGGTGTGGGGGCACTCAGTATCTGCGGTGTAGGCAATGCTGGAGCAGGGGCCAAGCCGACGGCTGGGGGCGAGGGGGGTGGGTCTGGCTTTGAGACGCCAGCTCCGTGCTTTTCAGCTTGGTGGGGTAGGGCTGGGTTCTCCAGGTGCAGGGGGCCTGAATGTGCCCTTGGAGGGGGTCACACCCTGGGTAGGACACACTTAGCACACTGAGCCCCGGGGGCCTTGGCCAGGATCCCCGCGGTTTTGGCTGGTCCCATGCTTAGGGCTGGCAGGGGCACAGTTCTGCACCTGCTGCCGGGAACCTGGGCGGAGGGTTCTTTGGAGAATCCAGGAATCCTCCAGAGCCAAGAAAATAACCCAGGCGTCCCCAACTCTATCCCTCCTCTACAGGTGCTGGACTTAGGCGTCCTGCCCCCCCATGAGATTGGAGCCAGGAGCCCCGCCTCCCAGGGCCAGGGGTAAAATCCAGGCGTTCCGGCCTCCACCCCCCAGGCATGGCACCCAGGCGTCCCGGCCCTTATCCCCCGCCCAGGAACAGAATCCAGGCGTCCAGCCCCTGCCCCTTGCATTTGAGACTGGACCGAGGCGACCCGGCTCCCCCCGCAGGCGCGGAACCGAGGCATCCCGGCTCGGCCGGCCCGGCCCTGCCCGGCCCCGCAGCGCTGACTCAGCCCCTGCGCTCGGCGGCGTCAGCCCCGGCCTCGACCGCTATTTTTAGCCGCGCGGCGCTAAGAATAGCGCGGGGGCAGCTGCCTGGCGGGGCTGCCCGGCGTCAGCACGGCCGGCCGGGAC